TGCATAGCTCAAGCACTGCAGCTAGCTCTGCAGAGAAGAAGTTGTTGACATGACTCAGCAGAGCATTAAGCTTATAATTCACTGTGGAAGAGGAGTTCTTCACAGTTAGCAGGACTGCTTGAGTGCAGTCAGTCACATTCTCAATGAATTCTCCTTCTGGTGAGAGGGCTGGGCAGGGATTGAAGTTGATATTGATTTGATGTAGTTGAGCTGTGGTGGCTGTTGTAGTGTTCAACACATTTTGAGACATGATGTTTTGAGGCTGGAGGGGGTTGTCCAGGGGTTTTAGCAGAGCAGAGGAGATTGTGCAGGCTCTCTTTTTTTTAGAGTGAAGAGGAGCCTTGGTGATAGCAATGTTGCTGTTGTTTTGACTCATTGCAGCGAAACTGACACTGTGATGCATGTACAGGCATCACTATTATTATTATTATTATTACTTATTTAATGCCTGGAGGCACATGATCAGCTGACTAAGAATAGTCTGCTGTTGCAGTCACAGCACCTTTCTAAGAGTATCAGATGTGCCAGTGCAGCAGCTAGTCTGCTGTCTGACATGTCTAGTCAGCTGAAGCTCTCTTGAAAGTCTATGTACAGAGTAGCCTCTGTTCTGAAGGTTCTGAATGGTGTAGTAGCTGAAGATTACAGAACTGAGAAAGTCAAGAACTTCTAGAGTGATGTGTAGAGGTGATGAGAAATGTATATAAGAAGCATAGAAAAGAGAGAGAGGGAGAGAGAAGTCAGATGTTGAACAGATTCTAGTAGCAGTGTTGAATGTCAATGAAGAAGCAGGTATTAGTGCATCAGATAGAGAAGGTTGTAGCTTCTCTTACTGTGCTGAGAAGTCAGTCAATTGCTTTCTTTGATCCTCAGCATGCTTCAGAGGTTTTAATTCATTCAATGTTCTGGTCTTTCCAGCAAAAGAAGAAGTGCTCAGGGGTCTTATCTCAGTCACAAGAGCAGATGAGGAGTGTGTCATCATGTGTCCATCTGTGATGATAGGCTGCAAAGTCACTGTGGCCTGTTCTAGCTGCCAGCAGATGGCCTAGATTTCTTTGAAGAAGAGTGAGCTCAGAGAAGAGTTCTTTTGACATTGAGATATTGAGGTTCTTGTATTGTGATGTGCTATTGAAGCTTCAGTATTGTTGCAGTGAGGCATTGAAGCATTCTTTAGCATAGAATTTAGTCCACACCAGAGTCAGAGTGCAGTGAGTGCATTTCATTGTGCAGGCTGACTTGGCTGCAGCATCTGCAGCATCATTGTCTGAAATCCCAGCATGGTCAAAGCACCATCAAACATAGATCTGTCTCAGACCAGCTGGACCTGGGCTCTGTTTTATTCAGAACCTGCAGAGTTCATTGAACTTAGCAAAGATGAGAAAAGATGTTCATGTGAATGTGTCTGTGTGAAGTCTTATTGCAGTCTCTTCATTGTCTAGAGCCACTATAATGTGCTGTGCAAATATAGAGAAGGGATTCTGTAGTGCTGCCTTGAGACTGGCAACTGCTGCAAGCACTTCAGCATCAAAGACCTCAGCAGTGTGGCTCAGAGGCAGCTTATCAAGCTTCAGAGATTGATTTGTTCCTCAGTATAGACAGTAGTCTCTGTCTGAAACTTCTTGACTGTCTTTGAAGCCATCAGTATATGTGATGAGATTGAGGGGGAATACAGCTTTCTGAAGTCAGTTTTGAAAAGCTGCTGGTTCTGCAGCTTGTCCCACAGCCTCAATTTCTAGTGTCTTTTGCTCTCTATTTGATATGCCAGAATTGTCTCAAGAAGGCAAGGACTCTGAGCTGGATGTGATGACTGTTGTTTTAATGTTTCATCTAATTCATTTAAAATGTGAGGTGTATCATCTTCAGTGTAGAGAATGTGACAGATCAGCTGCAGCTACACAAATGACTAGTCAGTCATGTATTCTTTCTAGTCAGACTTTGACTGAGCCCCAGCTTGATTCATGTAGGAGAACAGAAGTAGGTGTTGTGGCAAAGACAGATAGAATGGCTCAAGCAGTGTTGTTGAAGACTATCTGAATCTTGTCAATGACTGTCTGAGAGGTTCACTTCAAGAATCAGATCTCAGCTTCATAAAACAGAGTGCTGAAGACACAGCTTTGAATTGCTTGTCTGAGCAAATGTGTTTGATTTCTGAATGAGACTTCATTTAGTGATTTAACATGTTCTGTAACAATTCTGACTCAAGTGCATGCAAGGCAAATATGTTCTCTGAAGAGTAACTTTCTGTCAAAGAAAACCTCTAGTCATCTGATGTAGTTATTGAGGGAAATTATCTGTTCATTAAAGGAGATGGAGGGCTCTGAGTACTTGATCTTTTTATGAAAGTATTGAAGCTCTGTCTTGGCTGAGTCAAATGAGATTTCATTCTTGATACCTCATTTCAGAGTGTGATTGAGAGAATTCTGAAGCTGACTTCCTATCTGCTCAAGAAAGCTTCCAGTCTCCAGGATTGCAATGTCATCTGTGTACTCAAACTGGTCTTTGATAAGCTGGAGAAGGGGTTCTACATAGAGCAGAAAGAGAATTGATGAGATGAGAGATCTCTGTAAAAGACCACAGAGAATCTGAAACACCTTCAATTGAACACTGTCTAGTCAAATCAAAGCTAGTCATTGATCAAGAAAAGACACTACTCACTTTATCAGAACTGCCAGCCAGCTCTGTTCCTGTAGACATCTTAGAAGCCAGCCTTGAAGGACTTCATTGAAGGCTTCTTTGACATCTAGAATGATCATGCTGGTCAGAAGGTGTTTGTCCCATGCCCCTTGTACATCACAGGCTAGTGCAGTGGTGAGGTCTACTGCAGACCTCTGTTGAACAGCACTACACTGATCTTCTGCTAGAATGTGATGATGAAGAGTGAGATGGGACATTCATCTAGCTATCAGACACTCCAGCCCTTTGCTGAGACAGGATAGCAGTGTGATTGAGCAGTAAGACTTTGGTAGAGAGTAATCTCTTTTCTCTGACTTTGGAATAATCACCACCTCAGCCTTCTTGAAGCTCTGGGGGTGGATTCCTTGATCTATACAGTGTTGAAAGAGTAGAACAATTCAATTGCCTATCACTGACCATGTCTTTTGAAGAACCTTGGCTGTAATGCCATCCAGGCCAGGAGATGTGCTAAGTGTCTGGCAGGTGGCTCTGTAGACTTCCTGCTCTGTAAGGGGCATCCAGAGTATCTCTCTGCATGGGATTGTTGGTGTATGCTCTGGGATATCTTCCGCGTACAGGCATCACTATACCCACCCTATAGTTCAACGCAGACTCTACTAGATCACATGCCCTTCAGACACACTGACTAACCGGGCGATAAATAAAAACACACACACACACACACACACACACTATATAGGGTTTATCACGTGCGGTGGGGTAGCGGAGTACCCAACTGCCCAACAAATTTCTTCTCCCTGCCCAGGTTCCTCTAGGACTCAATTGGCCAGTTACTGATTTAACTGCAGTTAAGCAGCTGGTGTATGATAGCTAGAGTAAGGCTCCACAGTTTAATTTATATCTCTTTTGGTCTTCACATTCCATCAAGACTTTAGGATACTTGCGGTTGCATTGGTATCTATTTCAAAAAATCTTCTTCTCATAGATATGTGCCCCCCATTTTGAGATGCACTTACACAAGTATGTACATAGATACCATCTTCTATTCATGATGCATCCTGTCGACACCAACTTCCTGAGGCATATGAGTATATGTTCATTCACTCGACCACATCCATCCACATGTAAATGCGGACAGAAGGATGTATATAATACTCTGTACATTACATGTATATGTCGTTATGCCGTGCATGCCTATTCTATACGTACTTATGTACCCAAGGACCCCTCAATAGTTACACCCTTAGATAAAAGGTTACATGACATATAGGCCCATAGAGTCAAGCATGAACCAGTTTCTATCACCATTGTGTTCCCATGTCTTTGTGTCCCCACAGTTCATGTGGTGCCTGCACAACACTTCAAGAGAATGAGCAGTGGGTGTTTGCGCACTTGCAAACGAATTCGAATACCGCTACCCAGTACGAAAATGAGTATCTGTTCCTTCGAGTCCACCAAATGGCCCGGCCCTATTGTCTCACCATCTGCTGTGCCATAGGCTGTGACGAACAATTCATCAAACACAACGGCGATGGCGCAGCCTACGACTACCGTTGCCACCGCTGCTGCATATGACCACCTATGTGAGAAGTTGGCCAAGGCTCAATTGACGCGAATGCCATTGAAAACTCGGGCCTCTGAGGCTTTATCATCGTTGTAATGTATGGTTAGGTGAATGTATTCTATCATCCGACTGACTATGCTAGGTTACATATGACACAAAACCAGGATATGACTACTGGCCGGCACGACGTTTGACGACAGGCTTTTGTCCCTGCAGTGGGTAGCTAGTGAGGTTATTTGAGGCCAATATTGATGGAGGTGAAGTCCTTAGTGTTTATCAGAGTTCTGATGTTGATTTTTGGTGGGATTATTGAAGAGAGTGAGGCGAAAATTTCTGCTGACGTGAACTTGGAATCGGGTAAGGAGAAGTTTTTCAACAAAAAGCGCCTGTCCTGATGGCAGGAGGCCAAGTGCATATCGGAATTCTGTTGTTGGTCATCGTGGAGATCCTGATTGACTATCTTTTGTGCGAAAATCGATGCTTGTTACTATGTTGCTATATATATTAACTATTAACTGTGTTATGCAAACGTTTGTGGGGATTGGTCGACCATCAGCTCCAAAATAGTGGAGTATTAGGTACGGATAGATCAACAAGAAAAATGGATGGAAGAAAGAATAAAGGAGAGCAGGAAAATAACACCGACCATGACCCCGAGAAAAGATGAAATCTGTACTCTCATCTGGACCCCTTTTCTAGCGAACAAAATGTATAATATTCCAAAACTTTCTCCAGATTGCCGTTATGCTAGAGTTTCTGGTCTGTAATCGGGTATCCCCCCCATAAGTGAGAAGGAATAAAAGTATCAGCACATTTGGTTTTGTGTCTTGGATTTTAATTCTTCATCACCCAATTCACGAACCTGACGTTTCTTTGCCCTGTTTGCACTATTGCTGGTATTCACGGGAGCTTCTTTATGGGCTTGGGTGACTGGCTTTGTAGTTGCTCCTCCGTTGAGTGCTTCTCTCATTGGCATGTAGTAATTTTGGCCCAACATGTGCAACTTCCGCCGATCAGTCTTGTTCGACTTTGTATGTGGTATCCGGTCGACAAGCAGGAAGAGAGTTGGTATTTGAATGTCTGGCAGTGATGTGCCAATCACCTGCTTGATTAATTCGACTCTGGAATATGCGTTATGGTTCTCGTTAATCATTCGAAAGGTAATTGGCTCGTTAGGACCAGCTTTGCTGCCCAAGTTCATGGGATTGACTGCGAGGTAAAGAAACGCTGTAAGGATTGGACTCTCCACACCGTCGATGGCACCAAGTAAGTCCACCACGATGGAATCTCCTGGAGACAGACACTTCCTTGCAGTGTATTCGACTTCGATGGCGTCAACTCTGCCACCGTCAATCTTCAGTAGGGTATCTTTTCGTCCAATATAGGTTAATGTGCCGTCATGGTTATATTTCACAAGATCCCCGGACCGATACAATCTAGCGGAGAGTGTTCTCTCGGGATGCAATTCGTGGAGCCATTTTGGAGTATATTGTAGGAAGCCGGCTTCAGATTTCCTGGGAATTTGGTCAAGATACCCCCGGGCAAGGTGAGGACCTTCCATTATCATTTCCCCGATAGAACCAACGGGCATGAGGCAGTCCGGAGATGACGGGGAAACAACCCAAGCAGCACCTGTTCCCGTACGCCCAATATTCGTACCACTGCCCAGGCCCATGTTATCGTTGTATGTACAAAAGGTTGCGACCTCACCCATGCCATATTGATTTACGAGTTTCACTTTTCCTGCCCATTTAGCTAACAGGTCATTCGATGGTGGTTCGCCGCCAACGCAAAGTGTTTTCAAACCGGGGACGTCCTCAGGACCAAATTGAATGGCAACTGTCGGAGTAAGGAATGAAACATTTACCCCCAGGTCGTTCATGTGCTTCGTCAAAACGTGAATCGCCTTCTGCGGGTGGGGAACGCAGCAACAACCCCCAACCGAGAGTGGGACAAGATAGTCGTTGTTACTGATGTCGAAGGCATAGTCATCGAACTGATACATCCGAGTGGTTGTATCCAAACCCAGGATCCGAGCGTAGTCTCGAACGGCAGTAGCATAGGTTCGGTGCTCTTGAATAATTCCTTTCGGTTCTCCGGTACTACCCGACGTGAATAAGATTAAACCTGTGGGGTTACATATAAAGTCAACAGACCGGAATCTCGATTAGTCAGAGTGGTTACTTACACGCGTTATTGGGTCGTACAGTGGTACAGGCTGGCTCGACTTTTTTTGGAAGATTCAGAATCCCCTCTCTGGACAACTCAATGATGCTCGGAACAAGCCCTTGGAATTGCTGGGAGAATTCGGCAACAGTAAGCATCACCTTTGGTTTGGCACGCTGGATAACGGAGTTTAAATAGGCTGGAGGGTCAGCAGCATCAATCGAGATATAGGCTCCACCAGCCCGTAGAATTGATAATCTTGAGACAATGGCCCATGTTGACTTTTTGAAACAGCTGAGGACGAAGACTTCGGGGCCCACGCCTAACTCAACCAGGCGATGGGAGAGTCTTGATGTCAAGTCGTCTAGCTCTCCGTAGGTCAGGTCACCGTCCCATGAAACAACCGCCATCGCGCCAGGGTTAGTCCGACTGTATTCGAGAGCCATGTCATGAAGACACCGCTCATAGGAGTCAGAGACATGGCTGGTTAACTGAGAAATATGTTCTCGATCATGTGGAGAGCACATGTTAACTTCCCCCACTGCTAGATCCGATGACATACGTATCGATCTTAAAACTTGGTTGAACGTATGTAGGACACTTGACGCAAGTGGTTCTGAGATGGTCTGGCTCGAAAAAAAGAGCTGAGCGTACAACCAGTCATCCTTCGTTTTCGCAATGTCGAGGAACACGTCCACCTAGTAAATGATTAGCAATGAATAGAGTGTATTTAGAATAAAACCCCATTAGGCAAAATCCAACAAACCTTAAGATTAATATCCAAAATTGACGTTGACGCGTTTCGATACCTAAAAGCCGTCGTATAGAGGTCATTCAAAACCTCAGTCCCGATATGACCGTCTTGGTTGGATACTGCACGCTGACGAATTCCCCGCTCTACGGTTTCCAGCTTGTCTAGGACTTGTCGCAAAGTGTCATCAGGTTCGATGGTTAACAGCCCATTTCCATGCTGTGCTCCCTGTCCAGTCGAAAATTCCCTCAGGCTTGATAAGCCCAAGTCGGTGTCAGATTCAAATAGGAGGGAATTTGTAGAGGTAAAACAACGAGTGGTGAGTGCCCAAGCTAGCTGCAAAATTTTAAATGCATTGTCCAAACCAATAGAATCTCCATTGCAGCTAACACCTTGGGTTTCTGTCTTCAACACGTCTTCAAGAGCCTCTGATTTTTCCGACAATAACAATTCAAGGCATCCTCTTTTTGAGGGTGAATGCTTCGTAGTCTCGAGTGCCATGGATGATGTGGAAGAAGATGCATTGCTTGCGTAAGGAGTAAAAGTGCTGTTCTCTAGAATTGATGGAGCCATTGGGAAAAGTAAATAATCAATTTGTGTTGGCAGTAAGTTATGTCATCCAGACAGTGCAGTATCTGCTATCAAGAAGGGGCAGAACTCGGTGAAAAGAAGGGGGGAATTGAGAAATATCTCAGTCTAGGCATGACTATCTCCAGCGCAGCTTCAATGGTCTGTTTAAATAAGTTCTCAGCAATTGACTTCCCTGAACTCGCTACTTCCGACATTTCTTCCCGAGGAGCACGCGGAGCAACAACCAATGGATCGTCGTGACACGGCGTTTTCCCATGGCAGCCGGAGCAAGCTTTGCAGACTGGGCTTAAAAGGAGCTCCAAGTGAGCTTCTAAAAGTTGTCGTAACAGTATGTCTATACGTTCATAACTTTTTTTTTTTTTTTGGCAGATTGGTTACCGATCCCCTCTTGCAGGGGGGAAATCCGGTTTGGATTGTGCCTGCGGGACACAAAATGAGGGTATCTCATCTCATTTTGAATCCATTGGCTGGCTGCATCAGGCGGTGCTATCGGTACAAATTGTCTCGAGCCAGTGAGACTCCAGAAGCAGACGCCATGCCCTGTCTGCTTGTGCATGAACCTGTCGTCGAAATATTGAGGATTGCAAACGCACCCAGCCCATCAAAAAGTATTTGGGTTAGGTCTGACGATCGTGAGGCTGGCTGGAATATCTGAAGTTCCAGTTCCGCGAACTAGAGTTCGCAGGCTCCAAGGGTCCAAGCTGCTCTAGCACTATACCATTATAAAACTAGCACCATGCTAATCGAAACCTTCAGCTGACTGCAGGCGCACTTCACAGCTTCTCTTATCCAGCCTCATCCAGCCTCATCCTATGTGCACAATCTCATTCAAGACAGCCTTGGAACTGGGTCTGCAGCTCTCTTACGCAGCATGTTCGAGAGGGCATTTTGATATACTGTCGGCCTGTGCCACAGCTGTTCTCCCGTGAACTGCGTCATCCCATTTGGATTCAATTGACAGGTTCGTTCAAGCCCAATCGACTCGATGCGAGCGGGCTTAGCCGCCACAAGGCACTGATCATCAACTGATAGGCTAAACTAGTCTAGGTTAGTGTGTAGTACCTGCTGGAGGCAGTAACTTGTTGACCTCTTTTTTATACGCCAGGATAGTATATGGGTTCTGAGTGGACAATTCTATTCCCGCCTGTCAACTGTGGTCAGTGTGGACCTTGTGCCAGTGGTGAGATGGCTGAAAACCCCACGCCTCAAAAACCGTCAACCAACACATCTTTTTTTTGCTAAAATAATGTACTCCCTATGTATCTTCAAAGCCATCGATTCACGACCTTGAGATGCTGCATACAGAAGATTCATATTTGCATTCTACTACTCTATACGCGGATTTCACAATCTAACTGGGTACATAACACCATACAAACAGATGACGATAAACACTACTCAAGAACCAATGCTGCATACGTTGTGGTCCATTTCAATTTCTCTTATTATAGCTACCAATACGAGCATTTCATGAAGAAACCAGCACTAAGATCCCAGCAGTCAGACAAAGACACACAAACGGTTTTTAGAACTATAATGACCACAATCATGCAGCCGGAAACAATTTACAATTTTACACGCCTAGACCCTCCCAAATCTCAATTTAATGCGTCACTCCGTTGACCTTAGGTTCCCCATGTCCATTTGTGATAGAGCAATCTGCAGGTTGCATTCTCATTTGGCTGAGGAGCCTTGCCCCCCACTTTTTTTCACAAGATGGAGCAAATGCGCCCCAGAATTTCGGTACAAGTTCAGCAGCCTTCATAACAACTTCGAAGCTACGGAACGCCCTCTGCGCATGCGATTTGGGAACGTCTGCATTGGGGCACTCGAGTGACCTGCTAAATACCTCCATTGACACTGGCCCATCGTAGCCCGCTGCGAGAATAGCCGCAATGATGAGCTCAACTGGCATGTAAGCTCCCCGTTCCTCTTCCATAGGGAACAGTCGGAAGTTCCGCGACCAAGGTAACAGTTCTGGGGCGTCAGGATTTTGACATCGGGTCAAGTTCAAGGTTCCTGGGTCCACCAACTCCGCATCTGCAATCTGGAGGAGGAATATTTTTTCCGCAGGCACGGAAGCCACCATAGCTGCAATGGATGAACAAAGGACATCCAATGACTCTTCTAGTGTAGGGTAAATTCGCCCGTGGCCCTCTTTGTTGTATGGGTCCGCAAACTCAACTGCAAGCCAGTTGAAAGAATCGACAATTAAACCAACGTTTGGACGATTTGCTGTACGGACAACCTCCCATGTGGAAGACCAGGTGTTGCGCAGCGCCCATGAGAGCCCCTCGTAGCCGATTCTGATCATCGGCCCTCCATCTTGTTTGGAAAATGCTGCTGCCATATCTCCTATCTCCCGCAAATCATTTGCGACGGTCTTGAGCTCAATTGTGCTATTTTCGGCTCCAACATTGGAGCAAATAAAGAGCATATCCGTATCGAATGCTCTCAAAAAAGGGAAGCGTTTCACCACCCCGGCAAGATTCAACATGCGCTGATGGGGATCCTTGGCTCCCTCGACTTGGCGGAGTGGTTGGGCGCAAACAATGGACATTTTCAGACTTTTCACCAAATCACCCAGCGCTTTGGCAATAGCTAGATTCTCAGTTGTAGGTTCCCAAATTTTATCGTCGTCGATATTTCCAACATGGGATCTCAAGTATTGTGCCCAATCGTTTTCCATCAGGTCAATACATTGAAACCCAGCATCGGCCGCCTGACGGAATCTGTCAGGCAAGCTATGATACTTCCAGCTTCCGAGTGAAACCGTTGCAATTGCAGCACGATTCTTAGACGAATGTGGGCCGATCGCCATTTTCGATAGGTTGTGTGCTGCGTAATGGTTATAAAAAAAAAACTAAATTGTCTCAATTTCTTGACTTTCTTTTTGAAATGCGACACGAACAACTTCATCGAGCAGGTTAAGGATATCTCCGTCACGTGGGGAGTAACTATGCGGTTGGGTATGGAACGATGATGTCCTTGGCCTGTGGAGAGCTCCCCGAGCGCCAGTGTTGAGTTTCTCAAAATTTTTGATAGATATGTGATTGCTTTGGAGATTACACAATTTTCAAAGAGCTGGAAAATAGGTAGGGAACATGTTATTATATAAAGCATGGGGATCCTAAATTCCATCAAGCCTTGACGTATGCCAGCGTGGTTTCAAGAAACACAGACAACAATGAAGAACCTATGACAAAGCTCCATGAGTGCAGGTCTCGGACTCTGTAAGTTTGATAATCCAAAGGCCGACATTCGTCTGCCGGCTAAAAAGAATAAAAAAATACAGCCCAAACTGAAACTCTCGATGCATACTATGGACAACTCGAGCACTGATCGATCCCTGTGCACACAAGCGGAGCAGGTCTCTACTTCCCAGTCCTCCACAGGAAAGAAGTGTGGACACTGGATAGCTCTTTTCAGCGTGCCTGAACCCTTTAAACTTCAGTCCCCTTGCGCATCATTGGCCTAAACCCCTAGCCAAAATTACCCAGCTCGCCACCGCTTGGAGAATGGCTGTGTGATAGCCCAGGTAATCATTGTATACCCCAATGACTAATTCAATACGCATGGTATATTATCAGCCTAGAGTCAATAAATAAATCACAGTTAGTGATATGCAATGAAAATGATGTAATGGGGATGAATTCGAGTTTCCTCGTTATGATTTCTTTTTCTACTCTTGCTCCGAGTTCCAGCTACTGGTTCATCCAACCAGTTGGCATTCCGTCCTTAACTACAAATTACGGCTCAAAAGAAGCTCTAAAATTGTGAAAGAGTTATAAAAGAAAAGGTAAGATAAGAAAAGAAAAGTTACAAGAGTACAAGAAAGAAATGGAAGCAAAAGTAACTTACCCCTCCTGAAAATAAACCTGGACTCTTCGCAGCCGATGAAACTGCAAAGGTGCCAGAATTTCACGTATTATTACCACAATTGCTGGGAAGCCGTTGTGGCAGTCGAACCATCGAGTTTGGATATAATAAGCAATTTTGGTAACTACATGGGACGTGCTCAAACCACCACAATTTGAGATCTCCGCCTCTGGCTTATCTCCCGGCTGGGGCTTGGTCCTAACTTTGAGACCCATCATAATTAAATATGCCCGGAAAATAACTAAATCAACCACTGGATTATTTTTGAGAACCCTCAAAAACACAAGGATCTGCTCGATTTCCTGGCTGCCTTTGAGAGAAGAGCTGATGCAATTTCCACATTGTTCATTCTGGAGAATTCATTTACGAATACTCGAAAATTGGATATATGTAAGTACAGTAACTACGTGCGCACTTATACCATCTCCAAATGACGCCAGAATAAGGAGATATGACAAAACACCGTGGTCGCACCGAGTTCCTCTAGGGATTAACACGTTCTGATATCCTTGGCCCGTGGCTGCGGGGCGGCTTTTGCAGTGAAGTAAAATCTACCACCGAAATGTGGCAATGAAATTCATAGTCCCCGACTCTAATCATCGATAGGGCAGAGGTTTTTCCCACTGAAGAGAGCCAGAAGTCTGACAGACAGCCCTTCACCATTATCCCGGAGGGAGTCCAACAAATGTAACGTTGCTATACCACAAAGGAAATCATTAGGCTCCCGCATCAGCAGCACCATCAACCAGCACAGCAGGAATTATGCGATTGACGCAGAGGCAGATCCGAATTTGCGAATGAGGATGCCAACGTTGGACGAAGCCAATTTTAACCCCAACGCGCTGTCACGCTCGGGTAGGAATAAGTTCTGATTGTTGAAAGGATCCCACGATACGTCGCACAGGCTGGCGCTAACAAGCCACGATAAACCGCGGATATAAAACTCATGGACAACCCTCTTAGACCCTCTTAATCCCTCTCACTCCGTACGAACGGAGAAACTTACGGCGTTGTCAGCTGGCAAGCGGATCAGTTCCACTGATTTGGTTAATATCCAAAGCTGGCCTATGACTTGCAGCTCTTTGTCTCATGATAACTTCGATTCCATGCACCTAGAGAATTAATACATGGTCTTGAGACTTAACAGCCTAATCGTTCGTTGTCCCGGAGCAACATCACGAGCATTATTCAACTAGTCGAACTTTGAAGCATATTTCGAGGGTTGTTTAATGTTTGCTATCATGCGGCCTCTTTTTCTCCCTCTCGATTTCCCATGTTCGGTTTTTCAAAGGATAAGTTGCGAAACTGTCCTCTACATGTTTCGCCACTGGAGATGCCGGAGCCATACATCTCCTTTATTCCCTTTATAAGTATATCATTGAGTATATGACTGTTTTTTGAATGCCATGCCATAATGAATTGTCAATTTCTCTTGCAATCTCCACTTCAAGATATCCTTCCTCTGCTGACCCTAAGTAATCAGGCGACATACTCTCGAGCCAGGAAATCACTACACACCTACTCTTGCAGAACCCCAGTTAACTTGTTACTTGTCAGCATGAACACGGGCTCTCGTTTCCCCACAAAATAATTTAGAGTTCAAACCCGCTGCCATAGATCAAATGTCCGGAGAAGGCTAAATTAAGTTGCACTTCCCTGATGAAGCATGAAGGTTGATGACGACCTTGATATGTATGACATATGTTATTTCCCTTTCACCTGTTGATCCCTGCCAAGATCGACTAAAAAGTCAAACGATGAATGAGGTGAAAGAGAACAGACGTGAAGAGAGAATGGATATAAGTAGGGTGACATTGAATTGATACCCAGTCTGAGATCACAAGAGGCCAAGCGGCCACTCTATATTCCTCCATCTGCTACAGAAAAGGCTTTGCATGATATCGTCGCAAATCGAGTCCCTGGTAACATTATCAGTCGAAACAATTATGATTAACTAAATAGGCTGCCTCGTAGTTGTAACCATATAATAATTGCAATAAGCAATTGACCATATATCAAATCATGCAACAATTACATGTAAAAGCAAATTAATAAAGGCAATTACTTCATCGAATAAGGACTGGACATGCTAAGACTCCAGTGCAGTAACTTTTGCATCCAACCGCCCCCCCCACATTATATTTACATCCCCAGGTAGGAAAGCCTTGATATGATAAAGATAAATATATGAGGCAAGCGAAACATTTTGTGTTGATGACCAGCGGAGGCATTGGGCTGAGAGAACAGAAGAACGGAGATAGTAATGTAGAAAGAGATAGAAATAAACGAACTTTTGCAACAAAGTAGATGAGGGTTAAAAATTAAAACATAAGAAATAAAATATTATAACACATAAACTGATTTCTGGACACACGATCAAGTTAGATCTGCTTCTCATTTTCTGGAGAATTATCTTATGTTCTCTCCTATAGAACATTGAAGAATTCTTTAAAATAACAGATGGTAGAGTAGAGAGGAGTGAGATCGTATATAGAGCCTTGCTGAAGTCAATGAAAAGCAGATTCTCGCATCCGGGAAGCTTATGCCTAGGTATCTGGTAATGCATTATGAGCTTCAGAATAACTCATAATGGTGGATGCGAGGGTGATTTGTGGTTAGTGTTTGATTTTAAGAGCCCCCGATTGACCAGGATATGAGAGATTAATACATAAGAAATCGGACGTATGTTGGGGGTAGGTAGATAAGAGGCCTCATCGATACGGAGGGACAATCTGTCTGCTGTGTTGCTTTTGCCAGATGCAATTCAAGAATAGAGTATGGTTGAAAGGAGGCTGCTCTTTAGCAAATCACTTTGTAGACCTTTTTCCACATTGGCCATCGAGTACGCTCAGCACGCTCTTCTGCGATTAAATTCGTAATATCGAGATCACGGCGCCCAGTGTCAAGATTCATGTCCTTGGCTTGTACCATTTTTGTGCGATACCATAACTTGTATGGAATAAAGAAGGAAAGAATTATTGGCACGGCGATGCACAGTTCAAACACGGTTTCGACTCGTTTTTTCACAGTCATTTCACGGAAGCCTACGGGGGCAATGGCGACCCATAATTGTGCGACAAGGACAAGAACATTGAGGATTAGTCCTATCCATGATCCTGTAACACCTGCCTGAGAGCGGTAGGGCAGATCGTCCAAACTGCGTCCCTGGACTTGCCAACCACGTCGAAATCGTATATGGGCGAAACAAACAGACGCCCAGGTAAAAATGGAGGATAATGCAGAGATCGCAAGCATCCATGAGAATACCGTACCTTGCTGCTCCTTTGCGACCGCTAGGTAGCCAAGTAAGCCGATAGCAGAGGAGATACCAATCGCAACGAGTGGGCGCCCTCGACGGTCGATATAGGTAAGGACGCGAGGAGCCTGATCCTGCTCAGCTAGGGCGGCGAGGGTACGCGAAGACCCGTAGATAGAGGAGTTTCCAACCGACAGCACCGCAATCAAGATAACAACGTTCATTACCGAATCAAGTCCTTCGATCCCGGCATTTTTGATAGCAATCACAAAGGGAGAGGCATTGGCATCGGCGCTTGATTCGCCAGTCACCAATCTTACTTCATCATATGGGACTAGAAGGCCGACTAGCGTCAAGGATACGATATAAAACAAGGTTATCCTCCAGAAGACCTGTTTAACGGCAGTCGGTATTGTTCTTCGAGGGTTGGCGGTTTCTGCTGCAGCCAAACCCACCATCTCTGTTCCAGCAAAGGCGAAAGCAGCCGTAACAAAGACAGTACAGAGGCCTTTGAATCCATTGTGAAACGCTCCGGGGCGATGCCAATACCTTCCCCCAATATATTCACTATTGGGGCCGCCACCTACATCTAGAACAATCCCCAATATGCTTTTTTGGGATGGCGGTGCATGTCAGTGAATAAACATAGTTCCGCTAGAGAGAAGAAAAACGTGGGAGGACATACATAAAGCCGACAATTGCGATAATCTTAATTAAGGAGAAAACAAACTCTGCTTCTCCATAGCCACGAACACCAAACAAATTGATGGATACGATCAGCACGTAAAATATAGTGACCCAGACTGCTGGTGAAATAGGAGAGCCCCAGTAGCCAACAGTTATAGCAGCTGCGACAATTTCCAGCGGGAGAACGATGATCCACTGTAAGCCATAGTTCCAACCCATGGCGAATCCCCAAGCAGGGTCGATAAAGCGGGTCGAAAATGCGGAGAAAGACCCAGCAACCGGGAAAAGCACAGCCATTTCACCCAAGGCGTGAACAGTGGAGTATAACATCACCCCTACGAGGATGAAAGCCATCAGAACAGACGCAGGACCACCATCTGCAAGAGCTTTTCCGGAACCAACAAACAATCCAGTTCCTGGTTATCAGTGCGACTTAATTAGCTAGACGTTTATAGATCAAAACGGCAAAAATATAAAAATAAAATAATTTAAAAAATATAGTAAATTCAGAAGAGTTGGCTCACCAATTGAGCCACCAATAGCTATCATCTGCAAATGCCTGCCTTTCAATTTTCGCTGTAAAGGCGAAGATGCAGTATTAGAAACAGCCGCCTCCAAATTATAAGCCTTGTCCTGGGAACCTCCCGTCTCTTTCTCACTCGAGATCCGGGCATTTGGATCGTAACGGAAGCCATCCAGGAAGCGCGCGATAAACGAGTTATGGGATGAGCCGTCATCAACATAGGTAGGCGGGTCACTACTGTGGTCGACAGTTTCGGAGTGAGTTTTTGGCTCCGAATTCGGTGAGTCACTCATGGTTGATTCTTTCTCTGCGGTTTCTGTAAACCTGTTGAACAACAACCGGAATGAAAATTAGATGGAGATGCGATGGCTGGAGGTTGTGGTGACTCTTGCTGGGCCTCCTCTCTGTTTTGAGTGTGATATCACGACAGATCAGCACTGCGATGTCGGAGGAAAATATGGCGACGGAAGCCACACCAATACTTTAAATAAACAAAAGCAACGGTTGAAAGACGCAAAGGAGACGACAGCAGTACGAGTGCGAGGATGGACACGCAAAGATGAAACGGATATGGAAAGAAGATAAAAGGAAGAAAGCGGGGAGATGTTCAGGAGGGACGTTTCTTGAGGAGTTGAGGAGTGCAGCATTTCTCAGATAGGAAGGTAGCGATAGCAAAGAGGGGGGGTTAAGGCGCAACCCAAGTCCCGTTGGTAAAAAATAACAAGAATATCATATTCATAAGTATATCTATAGTAGGGAGGCAATATAAATGCCCGTGGACTGCCAAATGGAAAAGACAAGAAAGAGCTAAAGACATGTTAAGTGTGGAGAAAATACCACCAAGTCTAGTTCTTGAGACACCGGCTGAATTCGCCTGCCGCAGAGGAAGAATAGCAGCTAATAACAACCGTTGACACTGACAGGCGCAAGAAAAAATTTAAAATAAAATAAAATAAAAAGAGAAGGGTACTCACAGTACAGCAATCTGGATTTTAAAGATTTTTGGGACAAAATCAACATTTATTTACCACTTAGAAATAGACGGTAGCAGAGTCCGGCGGAGCCTGGAGAATAAAACCGCAGAGAGGAAAACTTTGGTCGGTACTGTCTTTCTTCAGAACCGCTGCACTTCACACCTCGCTGAAACAAAATAAAGGAAGAATCAAATATGGGAAGCAAGAAAGAGGAACAAAAGAGATAGAAAGGGGGGCAAATCAAGAAGGGGGAAATGAGAAAGAAAGAGGGGAAAAATTTGAGGACATGGGAGTAAGAATAAAGAAGAGGTATGGTTTGAATGAAGGTAAGATAGATGATAGGGGCAGGGCTCAGCTGGTTTTCTTGTCCGCCCATTCACCAGAATCCCTGTGGATATAAGGCACAATACGGCAACTTGCTCCTGCAATAAGCCAGCACAGGGGCTTTTCCAACATTTCGTCATGTTTTCAAACCCCCATTCCCTAATTACGCCGACCATGGGAACAGCCAAAGTCTAGATAAAACACTGCTTAGCCCGGATATGTACCACCCCATCTCAGCATAGGGCATGTAGTAGTAGAGTAGAGAGAAATGAATTAACATTTTCCTCCATCCACCGGGTTTGGTGAATTTCAAAAAGTCTCTTCCACATGTGTGCGATATCATGTTTGTTCTAGATTTGCTTCTCCAGAGACGGGTTGTCTTTCAACTTCGGCTGTGTGTTATCTTGATCCGCTGCATGCACGGGTGTATAGGTGTATACACACCGATCACATCAATGGCTGAACTGCCAGAGCCTGCTCAGGATCGGTAGATGCGAGGAACAAAAGAATTCCTTTTCACGTTCCCGCTGAATCGACAGAAATTGTATACTTTTGAGGCGGGCTCTGATGAACAGTACGTGATTCTCCATTACTCTTCAGAGACGTACACTTGGCTATAGTGTGCATCACCTCTTGCGACAAAATTTCTATTAAACTTATTAGCTCCATTGAGATGTTCTTCGCTCTTGGGTAAGTGCCACGTTGGCGTTTGCAGACAATAAATATCCTTTGATTGCAAACCTGTTGTCCCAAAATGACCTTTCAAATAACAGCCAATGGGCATGAAACTTTCTGATGATGCGGTCTTCTGCTATAGTTATAGATTGTCGCAGCGAGAGGGATCATTTGGAAATGCATCTTGTTACCTTTGCCACCCCCGCATCCGCAACTTCCGCGGCAGTAGATCAAAGGAAACCTAGAAATACCCGAAACGGTCCTCGGGCAAAAAGTATCCAGGAGCTAGCTTCCACCATGAAGCGATCTCAAACTAGTTAGAGTGCTATTGGTCTTCCATGGAAAGCAACTAGAAGTTTGGCAATAAGGAGGATGATCCTCCTTAGTGTTAGTGTTCCGGGGAAACAATTTCCTTTCAGGAGCAGGTATATCGGATTAACGACTGCATGCCCATTGCAGAGATCCACCACAATTTGCAAACAATAATGGGTGGGCTGGGCTGGATGAAGTAACTGAATACTCCATTTCCAGTGATAGATTCGAACTTTTCATGCTGCCCCTGTGCAACTGTGGATTGTAACTAGAGATACTCCGTACTTAGTCAGATAAAGAAGCAGCGACAGGCTACATATCTGCTGCGCAACTTAAAATAAAGGGGGCAAGGGAGTTGAGTTGGGCCTGATTCCCGAGAAGGGCAACAGGGATATCCATCAACATATTTTACAGTGTTTATCTCTTAAAGAGCGAAGATAAACAAGCGTCAATATCCTGTCTGAAATCATTTATGGGAACCAATTATTGAGGTGTGTGTGTGTGTGTGTGTGTGTGTGTGTGTGTGTGTGTGTGTGTGTGTGTGTGTGTGTGTGTGTGTGTGTGTGTGTGTGTGTGTGTGTGTGTGTGTGTGTGTGTGTGTGTGTGTGTGTTTATTTAACGCCCGGTTAGTCCACGTGCCTTATGGTCACGTGAACTAGTAGAGTCCGCGTCAAACTATAGGGCGGGTAGAGCTGCGCCTGTAGGCGACTACCTATCTAGTAGCTATCTTACAAATGAGGCAAAAGGGTTGCGTATTGCTGCACTGGCAGAGCCCATGGGTCAGTTGCCATAGAGCAGAGGTTTTGAGAGGTTTTAGGTTTGTGGGAGGGAGGTAGGGGAGGTGGATAGGAAGGAAGGCAAGGAAGGGAAGAAAGAGGAGGAGAGAGAGGAAGGAGGAGGAGGTGGTGAGGAAGACAGGGGCAGGACAGAGGAGAGAATGGACTGTGGGATCTGATCTGGAGGTGTGTGACAGCACATTGGACAGATATTCTGATAGAAGGCTGTTTCTCTTAGTCAGTTATTGAAATCTAGAGCCCCACACAAGGTTGCCAGTGTCTCATGAAGATTGTAGATAGGCTGGCACTGCTTTGCTGCTTTTCTTGCAAGAGTGCAATAGTAGAAATGTTCTGAGGTTTTGCTATGTCCACACCAGCAGTAGCACTCTGCATCTTCATGCTTAAGGTGGCTGTGGTAGGCTGCAAAGTCTCCATGATCTGATCAGACAGCATAGAGCTTTCCTAATGTGAAGCATGAAAGTTTTGCCTCTGTTGAGGCTCTCTTTAGTGGGATCTCCAGCTCCATATAGTGTTTGAGCTGATTTTTGACCCAGTAGTTCTCAAAGACCTGTGTGGTTTGTTTCATAGTGTGCTGCTTTATATAAGCTAGAGTGCCTATGCTGTCAGGTTGAGGTACCATGCTTGCACTTGCTGCCTGCACTGTGGCTGCTTTGACTTCAAGATCTGCCTTTTCATTACCAGTTACACCTGTGTGGCCTGGGACTCATCTAATGACCACCCTGCTCTGGGTGGCCAATGAGAGCCTATCTCTGCTCTGCCAGGCCTTTATGACTTTCAGAAACTGTGTGAAGACCTGCTGGCTAGAGGTGTTTGACACAGATCCAAGGGCTCATGCTACCTCCAAATTATCTAGGCAAATGTAGATGTTGCTGGCAAACTTCACCTGAGGTGAGATGGTGGCTTTCTTTAGGCCCTGCAGGGCTGCCATTGCCTCTGCATCAAAGACCTCTGCTTTATCCATTGGCAGGTTTCCTGTGGAGATTAGATGGTGTTCACTACCCCAGCATATAGCCCATTCTGCACCAGTCGCACGCTGAGGGTGCTCTATCTGTGAACCATCAGTGAAGACCACCAGATCCAGGGGATTGCATTGTTGTAGCCAGCTCTTAAAGTCTTGTGCTGCCTGTTTCTTTGTGCAGTCTGCCACATACCCAATCTGCAGATCTTCTTTCCTGGGAAATCTCATCCAAGGGGGTGTGAGTAGAGGGTCATATGCTTCTATCCCACCAGCATGACTGGACACTCTAGACAGACATGTGGTATAGGGCTTGGTGGTAGCTACTTTATTAGAGTGTCTCACTAGCAGGTGCCTCTTGTCAAGCTTTTTGATTCTTACTGCAAATACAGCATGCCAGTTGTCTAGTGTCTCTTTCATTGGCATGATTCCTAGCTCATGGTGTAGAGCTGAAATGAGTGTGGTCTTGTAGACTGGCAGTGCCTCTTGCAAAGCATCTCTAAGGACTAGATCTAGCTTTCTGACTAGGCAATTCATTCAATTGGAGATTTCCTTTCCCTTCTCCATTTGTGTGGCTTCAGACCACCAGGCCTCTGCTCCATAGCAGAGCACAGAGAGCACACAGACCTGAATGAATTGTCTAAGCAGTTGTACTGAGGCACCTCTTGCTGTGTTGCTTAGTGCCTGTATGCCATTAGACACCTGTCATGCCTTAGCTGCCATGGTCTCCATGTGTTTCTTGAAGCTCAGTTTTCTATCTAGTCAGATTCCTAGATATCTTATGGAGCTTTTCACTGCATTTGCTGTAATAGAGTGAGTGCCAGATGTTGTTTCAAGGTCAATTGAGAGGTTTGAAAGGATTCTGTGCTGTGTGAAGTGTGCTATCTCAGTTTTGGCAAAATCAAATGTTAGTCCTTCTTTGCTGGCCCAATCATTTAGCAACTTGAAATCCTCCTGGAGAGTAACAACATTCCCTTCAAGAGTGGTTCCAGCACTAAGCAGTCCTAGGTCATCTGCATAGCCTGAGTGTGCATGTCTTCTTTGTATAGTTCCTAGAAAGAACAGAGGCTGAATAAACAGCATGAATAGAATAGGTGAGACTGGCGAGCCTTGTGGAAGCTCTGCTGGAATATCAAAGAGCTCTCCCAGGAGTTCATTCAATCTGATCCTGCCTGTGCGTCCTGTCATGAAGCTTTCCACCCATCTAATTAAATTTGATGGCCAGCCTTGTTCTTGCAATCTCCACAGCATCCTTCCTCTGAGTACAGCATCAAAAGCACCCTTGATGTCCAGAGTAAGAAGAGAGACTACTTTTCCATGGGCCCAGGCTTCCTCTATATCATGAACCATCACTGCCACTAGGTCTGAGGCAGCTCACCCAGAGAGGGCTTCAAAGTGCTGGGGGTGGACAATCTTCTCTTGTATAGCTGTCCAGACCAGCCTATGAGCTACCAGGCATTTCAGTCCCTTCCTCAATGTTGAGAGAAGGGCTATGAGCCTGTAGGATTGCAGAAGTGTTAGATCTCTGTTGACCTTAGACAGTACAACCAGTGTGGCATCTTGAAAGAAGGTTGAGTGTCAGTTAACTCTAAGACAGACTCTGAACAGTCTTTCCACTGATATCTTAATATGTGGCCATGCCTTTCATAGCACCTCTGTTGGCACTCCATGAGTTCCTGGAGTGGTATTACCCGTGTTCAGCAGAGAACTTTGTATCTCATGTGCTGAGGCAACAGGAAATGGTAATTTGACAGATGGTGGGTTGGACCAGCTAACTGGGATATCCTCTCTGCTTGCAGCCTTCTGTAAGAGCACCCATTGCAGAAGGTCTCTTTTCTCTCTAGAGATTGTTCATGTTCACCCAGTCTCTTTCATCTACAAGAGGGGGGGAATGAAAGGAGCCAGTTGAATGAGCCCATTTGATCATCTTAAAGATATCTTTCCCCACTGAGGCCTCTGCTATCTTGCCTCACCAGTATTCTCTCTTGGCTTTCCTGGTGATCCTGGCTACATTGCTTTTTGCTTCTCATAAAAAACTAGAGCCTAGGCGCTGTGCATGATGTAGTGTTGTCACTGCTTTCTGGCAGTCCTCATTCCACCATGGCTGACCTGTGCCTTGCCTGGTGCTCTTCTTGATGGAACTTTCCAGGGAAGCTATTAGTGCATCTGTGATACCTTTAGCCAGGGCATCCAGCTGATCTGTATTGGGGTACTCTGGAATATCACATAGTTTGTCTAGTTTTGGCTTATAGGCCTCCAGCGTCTGGTTAAAGACCTTCTCATTCATGGTGTTGAGACAGAAAAAATGGGGTGGTCTGTCAGGCCTTGTGCTCTGTGGAAGGCTGATTTTGGTGAGAAGAGTCTGGTGGTCAGAGGAAGTGTAAAGGGATCTGTCCATCTGTGTGTCCACTCCTTTGATAACTAATTCCAGGGTGGCCCAGGCCAGGTCTATCATGTTATGCCCACGTGTGGGGGTGTCTGGGTCCATGGTGAGAGTAAAGTTGAAATCCATGGTCCATTGCAGGAATGGTTCCGCCCACATGCTTGGAGGCACTCCTGGTTGCCACACGGGGTGCTTCATATTGAGGTTGCCAGCAAGGAGCAATGAGAGTGCTGGGACAGACCAGGAGAGAAGACAGCCCACACCTTGTCCAGGATCCTCTGCGCCTGGAGGTGCATTGTATATGTTGACTGTCTGAAGCTGTAGACCCCAGGCCTGTATGTGCAGCATGTGGATGTCCCAGTTTTCTGCCCAGGGGCCTGGGACTGCATGAGCATGGATTTGTGGGTGTTTACACACATAGGTGAGGACCCATGACTTCCTGTCCCACTTTTCAATTGAGGCAAAGCAGTTGAATGCTGAATGCTTTTTGGAGATGTGTTGACTTAAGTTCCTGTGAATCCAGGGTTCCTGTATGAGAAGGATGTCAGTCTTTCTTTCAAATGCTAGATTGAGGGCTGTCTCATGTGCTGGGCCCTCTTTTCCTACATTGACTTGCATAATCTGCAGGAATTGCAGGGACCTAGAGTTCTTCTTCATTGAGTAGCTGAAAGGAGGGTGTTGTTGCATGAGGTGACATGTTGGATGTTGCATTAGATGTTGGGTTGGACACCATGCCTAATGCTGTGCCTGATGCTGTGCTCAATGCTGTGCTTGGTGCTGTGTTTGATGTCAGTGTGAGGTTAGATCTACACTCAGTAGAGTCATTCAACCTCAGGTCTGCTGATGGATCTTGACCACTGCATTTGCTGTTACT